ATGATAAATACATTTTTAGTTATTTGTGTCAACTGTTATTTGCTGTGATCATCCGCTGGTTACTGTTCTCATTAGCAGCCTATTTGGTGCTAGATTAGTATTATCTCTTACAATTATATTAAACTATTTTCAGCTGTTTAGTTTTTAAAGGGTAAAATGGATTGAAGGTAACCACACCACGAAGTACTTAGTGGTAACGATAGGCCTATGTAAAAACTGGTGATTTTGATGCTAGAGATATCTTTCCGACTCACTTTATATGTTTACTAGTAAGAAAGTTTAAAAGAGGAGATTTATTTCTACATTTATTTTAACTTCAATACTTCACACATTTAAAGGAGCTAGAGACAGTTCATACAAGTTTATACACACGTTTTAGTTCAAAGTGCTCGACTAGATCACAACACTAATACACAGAGAAGGCAAAGATGTATCACAACACAAAAGAATATTAGCAGACTTGGACAAGAGAGAAAGTCACAGACCGAAATTCCGTGAGCTAAAAATCCTAACGATTAAAGCAGCGACCGCAGAAGCCTGTACATCCTAGCTGTGGCTTCTCACGCAAGCAGGCTATAGCTCCAACGAGGTACGGATAGGCACCGCAATTACACCCTAGGCTATGAATTACACACTTCCAGTCCATCATCTAACTCTTTTTTTAAAAAAACCTTCCTACATGGGAGTGAAGTTCCTGAACTTGCTCCCAGAGACAAAAAGAGGCCCCAGCATAAGCAGCACCAGACAACGCTTATCGGCTTGGCTTGTGGAGAGACCATTCTACACAGTTGAGGAGTTCATGAATTGGAGAACTTCACCGGTGTTCCAGTGAGGACTAAACAACCCTCATAGTAATAACCATCACTACCAACAGTGCCTCAAAGCCCAACAACTTTATGCTATTTTATAATGAAATCTCTGTAATCTTTGACGCCTATTCTGTACTCTATGTTCAAAAATAAAGTATTCTGATTCGGATTCTGATTGTGATTCTGATTCTGATTCTGTCTCTTATTGTCCACGTAGTGGTTTTGCAAACACAAAAATACGAAGTTATTAAGCTATTTCACAGTGTTTGTAACGGTCTAAAGTCTATTTATTTGATTTAGTTTCCGTTGTGATAGTAGATTAAACATTATCACAACCTGCAACATGTTGCCCCTTAAATTTGTTTTGATAAAGATTTTTGGGCAATTGACAGAAATCAGGAACCTACATTAACTTGTCGTTAGTCCAATCAAGGCCGCACTAGTATATCTAGTGCGGCCTTGGTCCAATTCAGCTACATTCAGTTCTTTTTTTTTTTTTTTTTTTTTTTTTAGAAACTGGTCAAAAGTTAACTATATATGTGGAATATAAAGTTTGATAATTGAATATTGATACATGTAAAAATGGCCTGAACCATGTGTAAGATATTAGTATACCTTAATATGTCTATTATTTTTATCCCTTAGATTTTCATTTTTATTTTTGTATTTTAACTTAAGCTTTTTTGTGCCTTGTCAAATTTTAATCAGTAGCATAACACTGTATAAGTATTGGTATTTAGCACTGTCAAAACTGTAATAAAGCCATTGAAAACTACATTCAAATACAATATATGAATTCCAACTCATTTATCTGATAAGAAAAATAACATACTAATCAGCCCAATTTCGTCCTAATCGTGAGTCGAAAGCTTAGGACGAAATCTCAATTGAAAGAGCAATCAAGTTAAACTTTTGTCCAAGCCGTAAACAAGCCAAGCAAAGACAAGTTTGACTGGAGTGTTTGAGTTGTAAATTGGAGTTTAACAAATAAATTGACTCTTCAAACTGCAAGGCTTAACTGCAAAGCTAACTAACTTGAATGTTTGTCCATTTAAAGTATAACTGCACGAACGTGAATTTGGTAAAAGTAAAAGCTATATCTAACTTGAAACTAATTTTGCGTTATTTATTTTGTTCGATTTCATCGTCAGACAAATATAACTAATACTTTCAATCATACCTATTTCCGCGTAATGCACAAAGGGAAAAAGTACCACCTTTTAACCAAAACATTTTAATGCTTTGTAAAAATTGCTTATTCCAGCCCCAGTACAAATAAATTGGGCTAGACGGACTGAAAACCAGCTTAATTTTACATAGAAAATGTATAATTATGCATAGAATTAACATGAAAATAACATAAAACACAGCTTATGTTGGCCTTAGTGGCGTGAATAATCTTTGACAATTTTATTACTAAACATCCTTTTAGCCTTAGCAACCTAAGGGACAGACTAGTATTGTATCTTGTAACATAAACTTCCATTTGAATGTCAAAAGTAATCTTTGTATGTTAAAAATGCAAAATGTAAAAATAAGAAAACCGCAGTTTATGCATTTTGGAGAACCTGAAACCTCAATGAGACACAATTTGGCTACATAAAATAGTTTCCCTCGTACATATGGTAGCAAAATAATCGTCATAATTTATCGGATGTGCAACTATTAAACGACACATTATTTTGAATACTACTTCTATTAATATATAATATTAACTTAAGTGATTTTTTAATGATTTATGATATCCTACTTCAATAGCTTTATAAAATGATAGCAATAACAAGCTTTGGTCTTTAATTGGAAAACATACAAAATATCTTAGATTTTATAAAAACTAAATAAACAATCTGCAAAGTTATCGTTTTAAACAGTTATCTGGATTAAATTCGTACACGTGTAATATTTCTATTATTACCATATAAGTAAAAGTGTGTAAACAACATCGCGTCTTTAAAATAATTACTTGCACTGGAACAACAAATAATACGTATGTTTTATTTATAACCGATTAGGATAATTATTGGATCCCTATAGAATAATGTTTCTGTTAATTAGGAAACATCGTTTATGTTTCGACTTGGAAGTTTGCTTTGGTCACGATTTGAAATACGCTACTGATGTTATATAAAACAGATAATTTCCATACCTAGCTAAGTATAATGCAGTCTTATTATACTTATAATCACTTAGGTTTTAGTGGTTTTAATTTCAACCGAACGCATAATTTTGGTTGTTACGACATAACAATTAATCACATTTTACATCTATGATGCGACTTGGTTTGTTCTAACAGTTAAGGACTTAAGTGAAAGTGTTGTGTGTAGGCAAAGACGTGAAGCAACCGGACTTGTCTACACAAGCTATTATTGACGATTGACCTTGAACTTGGCGATAGGGGCTCTCTAGATCTAAAAATACTCATATCACATGGCCTATTAAGACTTGAGTGGAACTGATACATGTGCACCCTCCTTAATATACCTAATAAAACCGTATGTAATAACTGTATCACTGTGTTCCGCTATACACTGCTATTCCAGTCGAATGCATTCTTAACTGAATATCGAACACTATTTTAATGAACGACAACCTAATTTAAGGAAAGATTATAAAACACCAGTAGTAACGACATTTTAGCAGATTTATACATTTAATATGATAAGTCTTTGCCTGAAATTTTGTTTCTAAGCATTGATCCCTGACTAGAAATCACAAGAAAAAAATTCAGCTATCAGAACATGCTTTCAAACGTGTCGTTACACGTTTTGTAGGCCTTTCTAAAACAATAATACCGTTGACTATAGTATATTTAATCAAAATACCGAAGTCATAGTTTATTGACGTGATGTAGAGTCATACAAAGACTGTTAAAGTAAAATTTTACTCTGCATATTATTCATTTGTTGGAAAATATGAGGGATTTTTAGTTTATCTTAAAAAGAGGCTTTGATATATGAACGCAGAAAAGACAGACATCTGGCGTGTTTTGTAGTGATGAATTGTTTCAACTTACGACATGCAACTTGATTCCCTTCCTTCCTGACGCTACATGTCAAGTTTGTTGCATTGCGTGCGTAATATATGGAGTTAGGAAATATTTTAAATACCTTAGATTAAATCATTTTAGTTTTGGAAGTTATTGGGGTATTGTTATTGGAAGAAAATAGGTCCTAAAGCTTGTTAGCCTTAACGTGTAGGCTACTGATAATATTACCTTTTCCGTTGTTTTTTTTTATTGTTTTGGGGAAAGGCGGTAAGTCAAAATTAACAGGTTTTTTAAGACAAAACATCAATGAACTATGCTAGTGCAAATAATTTAACTTTTTGTTCATCCAATACCTAAATTTAATCTGGGGCCCTAAAGCTCAACATATTTGTTTTATTGTTCCAAAATCATAAAATATTTACTTACGTATGTCATGTCGTAATGAAATAAGTCTGTGGTCCATTATAAGTGTTACGATAATCTATGTTTATATTGTTTGTAGGGTTGTATTTTGAAAACAGTTTTTAGTGGAGTGTCTGTCCATTTGTCTAATCTACTTGACGAACAAAAGGGGTGTTAATTGATTTACTATTGCATAATTATACTAATTTAAGAATTTCCTGGCTTTGAGCCTTGAAAATATATGTGTTTTCCATTAGAGTGTTCTTTAGGATTGCGTTTCTTAAATGTCAATCAATAAATTTGAACAACTAAAGTAATGTTATGTAATAAACATAATGCGCCCTTTAAAATTATCTCTTTGATCTAAAATGTGTTTCATTATTGTAATTCAATTATTCTTCTTTGTGTGTGTACATATAATACTTTTATGTAACATTTAAAAGCTACTTGTTAAACTTACAAATCACGGATGTTGATTTAAGCAAATCAGATTACTAATTTGATTTCAAGACACTAATAAAAGTACACTTAAAACAATAAGCTAGAAAAAAAATGTCATTGCAAATATAAGGAGTTTTGCAGGAACTGTTGAAGTAATGAAAACCCCAAATATACAAAATTAAAAGGTCATCATTATAATCTTTTGATTTCTTATACATATAATATAAAAATATTTACATTGGAAAGTAATTTGTCTGAAAAGTGTGGATTTAAAAATCGTCTAACTCAAAAAGTAAAAAAAACATAAAATCATCCTAATCTTACAATCAAACATCTTGCTATTCTTGAAGTGCATCACTATTTTAAACGCTAGGAGTTATCGAGTACTGAGGGCTAAGGGTTGTGCCCCAGACTGAGATTGTTCTCTCCCCGACTAGGGCGACGCCCTTCTTGTCAACGACGGTGCGCCACCACTCCCAGGCTAGTCCAGTGGCTTCCCTGGCAAACACGTTGATATCCTCGGCATTTCCAGGGAGCTCGATCTCTGAACTAAAGGGAGCAGTCAAGTCCTTCCAGTTCTTTTCCCAGCTGACTTCCTTGGATACCTTGGCTCCGTTTTTGTCGTAGCTCACCTCCTTCCAAGTGATGGCCCACTGCATTACGAATCCTCCCTTGTGGGAGATCTTCAGTACTCCCTTGGAGAATATAGTTCTGGTAGTTTCAGTGTAGTCTGTACTCATATGCACTACAGCTCTGGAGTTGTCCTTGATGAAGTTAGCCGAGTAGGATATAGGGAATCCTAGGTTGTCCTTGGAGAACTTGGCGTATTTTACAAGAACATTGTTAACATCTTTGAAGGTCTGAGCGTTAATTAATTCAATGTGTTCTGTACTTCCTCCAAGGACAAACACCTGCATCTTGAGATCCTTCAGTTTTTGTCTAATTTCTGTTTCGGCTTCAGCTTTGAGGTCAAATTTAGTGGCTTTTGTGGAAAGTGTAGCCTTGGCTTCTTTATCAGTGGAGGATGTCTCTAGCTTGACGTAGATAGTTCTTCCATACGACACACTGTCCACTATCACTGGAGGACTGCTGCTGCTGGTCTTCTGTTTCAGTTCTGCGGCTGTAACTGATGACGCGAAAAGATCTGAAGGTTTCTTCTGAGCTTCCGCGCTAACGGTGTAGTAAATCTGTTTGAACTTATGAATCATGATGAGCTTTTCTTGGTTTTGCATCGCACTGAAATCTATGCTTGCTTCAACTTGGGTGTTCTTGAACTCCAAACCGAATTTGACTCTCAAGTATTCCTGGCTGTAAGCAAAACTGTAGTCACTCTGAAAGTTAGAAACGACATTGTGGTTCTTTCCATACTTGTCAAACCACGTTTTCAGGGTATTCTCTTTAGCTGATTGGTAGTTGGCGAAGGTTGGGTCAATGGTAAAGTGGCCGTCACTGGTCAATCCTGGCAGATTTACGGTATAAGTCAAGGGAGCGCGGGCTACTGCCAAGACATCTGGGTTGTTGTCCATGAGTCTCTGGTTGGCCAGCAGTAAGGATCCAGGATAAGTTCTGTGTTCGTTGGAAGACACAACTCCAATATCAGAAAATCCATTCTCCGCAGTTTTTTTCTCCCTTGTAATGACGATGAAGTTCTTGGTTCCGTCCAACTTGCCCTCCGTCTTTACTGGAACGCTAGTAGTTGTTTCTCCCTTGTAGGCCAGGATCTGATCACGGTTGTAGTTCATGCCGTAGATGTAGCTGTCAATATCTGGCATTGCCGCTCCTCTGACACTGCATACACAGAAGGCTGCGACGGCAACAAGCGTTGCTGCATGTCGATACATTTTAAAGGGAGCAGTATCTGTAAATAAGCAATGGGCAGAATTAAAATTTGTTTTACATTTTATTAGAGATATTGTAATAGAGAAGAGATATAGAACTTGTATCACTATTATTTACACACAACTACCTCAATTAAATATTTAAATCTATTGAATGGAGCTCAATGTGATCGGGCCCTATGCCAATTTTGTAATTCAATCACTCAAAAACGGTTACTTTTCGATAAATAGCGAGAATGTTTTTGATAAACAAATCATAATTATTATAATGCCTATACAATTTCAATATAACTTAAAGTGTTTATGGGCTTATGGGTTTTCTTATCATGTGTTTACAAACCATCCAATATACGGCCTAAATTCCGTACAAAGGAAGACACATTTTGGACTAAGTCCATTGATAAAGACTACGCAGAATGTAGAACAGGGCAGTAGGAAATTATCACTGTAAAAATAGGAAGCACATTTACTGATTTTCTTCATTATTTAAGAGGTTGGTGGCGGGGCTATAGAATGGGGTTGGTGGTATCTTTTTTAACCTTGCATTTGCCCGTCCACATAGACTACAGATCTAGTAGTGGTTATATTATCTGTGGTGGAACGTATCCAGCAAAGCAAGGGGTGAGCCAGTACAGTACGAAGATGAACTGTACTGATACATGATTTAATCTACATCAGAAAATAAAACAGTTTTAACCATCTGTTTGTCACTAATTATGTTATTAAATCAATATTAGTCTAAAATCCGGGTTTACCAATTTTGCGTATATATAATATGATGGAGAGCATTAAACGACAAATTATAGGGAAATAAATAGCAGGCTAAAAATTGGTAGGAGGTAATAAATATATATATGGGGTTTCGTTTGGTAGCCAAGTGAGCAATTAATGTCCATCTTGTGGTGGACCAGGTAAATCGAAATTATTTTCTCAGCTTGACTTATTGCAGACAGTACGAACTATCAATGGATTTCTGATATTTGAGATCATAATCAAGAACAGTACATGGACAGTAAAGAACAAGAAAATGTTAAGAGACCAGCAAATTTCTTAAAATGACAGTTTTAAAATTAATCAAATGTTTATGATGAAGTATTGCATTGTTCATTAAAATTTGCATTCATCTGATACGTCGTAATCGTATAGAAATATGGTCAATAGTTTACATCTTCGTTCGCTACGATCAATTGGCGCATAGTATGCCTAGTCGACGATGTTCGTTGCTTTACAATGATACTTCATTTTAAAGGGCATTACTTATCTCTTTACCATATTTCACTAAGGTAATATAAAAATTTTGATATTAAGGTTTTTTTACATATAAAATGAAAATCATGAATATCAAAATCTTTATTGTAAAATACATGTACTAAGTAATATTACTAAACATTATGGCATCATGCTCAATGTATTTGCTATAAATTAATTATATATGGAACTAAATATTGTCTATTTGGTACTTTAAAATTAGGTAAACATTTTTTTTTAAGACATACTTTTTGTATTTTGTTAACCCTACTATATTAGTAGATATGAATATGAATATTGACCTCCAATAATTACAAACCTATTTACACATTTTTATTTTTGTTTGGACTCTGACTTACTACAAAATATTAACTTTTGTAAAAAATATGACTAATTTCACTAAATTCCTTAAATTGATAACATCTCATGCAAACTGATACAAAATAATATATATTGTTAACATGTCGATTTGAACAGTCATGGAGTTGACACATTTTGTTCATATAAATAATGATAAAACCGTAAAAAGTTTGTCTTCGGTGCACCAATTAATCTATATATACAAATGGTAAAAATTATTTGAAGAAAAACAGCTTTGGATAAAACCTAGCTTTTTATAATTAATTATATACTCGTCCTAGGAAACCAGCTGCCAGTTACCAGCTATGGGTCTACGGAATATGGGTCTTATCTAGACATTTTTTTAAAAATTTGATTTAGTACGAAGCTCTCACAATCCTTTGAAAATAATTGCATTCCAACCGAATTGTATGAAACAATGAATATGCTGTTAGTAAGGTCACATATCTATCTAAATGACCAATTTGAATATGTAATAAATCAATGTTTTGTAAAAATGGGGTATTTAAAGGGTATTAAATTAGGGGGATACTTCGGTGTAACATTTGACTCTCATATTGGGGCTAATCTTTCTTAATTTGTAGTTGAAATAATTTTACAACGAATTTATATATACTGAACATAAATGAGTTTAAATTGGTGGAACTATAAAAAAAAATACCATTAAAGTACGCTTCTATTTGAAATGTTAGAGATCATAACAAGTAAACGTTATATTTACTTTCACGACATGCAGCTGAAAAAATAATACCCATAGTGTTAAAATCTATTGAAATAATGCACGATTTAAATGTATTTAAAAAAATTGGTTTGGGGACTGTAGGGGCAAAATGCTAGCCTATATCGTAAAACAATTAATATTAAAAATTTCACATCAATTATTACGACTTACCAAGAGTCCTTGTAGAAGTCTGGAGCAGGGACTTCCACTGATGTTTAGACAGTTAAGTTAGTTTATAAAGGCTCAGGTTATTAGTGGAGGGAGGGGTGTGTCAACTATCTAAGTCTGCTAATGATATCCTAATAACATAACAACCCTCTGATGATAGGGATTGTTTGGACGAAAGGTAGGAATACAAAGATGGCACACTTAGGATATACAAACTTCAAAGCTATTTTTATAGCAGTCCTGGTGTTCTTAGATGAATATGAATGTAAGGTAAATGTGTATGTAAATAGAAATCTTCTTATTTTGTAATTACAAGAGTATTTGCTTGCTTTTGTTCTTTCGCTACACCCATAGGAGATATTTCAGCTCTTAGATATACTGCTCTCATCTACGTAACATTTAGGGGCTGTAATGACAAAGCATACATTATATTTTACGTTGCAAATCAACCGAAATGTTAATAATAAGCTCTGTAATAACGCCGTTGTGAAGATTGAGTCCAGGATTAGTGGAGGTCAGTCAACCCAAACTTTCATCTAGCGCTTCTCTCAAACCGAAACGAGAGATAGCTATTTTACTTCCAGGCTACCCGAAGGGATTTTCGTGGTCCGTTACGACACATGACATCTTGTTCTGGCAATAATTATGTCACCGTTACGGTTTCCGGACGATGTGGGTTTTAGAGGGTGTTAACCCAACACTATTCCCGTATGTGTACGCATTTATCCAATGTAAAGTACATAAACTATAATATTCTTAAGGTAAAACTATTCAAAATATTTAATTGTTACCAATAATTACTGGAGTAGTCAACTTATTGAAATGCAGCTGTATAAAAGTATTATTAGAATAGTTTCAAATAAATGTTTGAGTCCAGCTGGTTGGCACACCTAATATTCTTCTCAATCCAAATGGTTTAATTATGGGTTAGGAATCCTTCAACGAGCCATATCCACTAAAGTTCCAAAAGGACATACCTTTTGTAAAATACCTTACCCTCAGATACCAGTAATCTAGGCTTCTGTCTTTTACTGCTTTACACATTGATTAAGGATAGACCTGGAGGGTTATGGAATTGTCACACGGCATTTGTGATTAGTAAGATTTGAGCTTGAGACCTTTGGTAATTAAGCCCTGCGCTGTAGTAGTAGAACAGGTCACTTCCAAATATACCTGAGTATTGTAAATTGAGTCACATTTAGTGTGCTATATTCTTACCTATGTTTGCCAAAACTTGTACAAAAATTCCAGGAACAATCTATCTAGGTGTGTTTTAGTCAGGGAAGTTGAATAGTATTATTATTCATGTTCAAATTCATTTTGAAGCTTATAGCTATCAAATAAGAATAGAAGAATTTGGAGGGTTAACTACAAAAATAATATGTATAATTAACATAACAATACATAGTGTAAAAATAACGTAAAACTCGTGATAATGAAGAGTGTAGTATGTGCAATTCCTACTTACAGTCGTCTATACATGTGCTGTAGCCTATGTATACTTGTTTACGTATTTTAATATCAACTACCATAACACAGAACTCTAATGGCAATACCAAGAACGTAACAATTTTTTCATAAATGCATCTTATTTAGGCCAAGGAGAATTTTGTATTAAATCATATTTCTTATATATCCCTTCTTGTATTTTGTCTTAGTCTCCATCAAACGATTTAAATTTTATACTATATAATAACTGATACGGTTATTATACGTATACGTTGTTCATGTTAACCATATAAATAAGAAAAGTTAATATTCGAGATATCTTAAGACGTAACCGAAACCGTATATGTTACATCACAAACAGGGATTGTATTTTAGAATATAATGACATGTATTCTTACAGTGTAGAGTTGACAACATGCAGACAAGTTACTTCATGCTTGTGTTGTTTATGTATGTTCATGCAGACATGATAACTAGAGGATCATAAACTTTTAAGCATGTTTTTGGTTCGGTTAGGTTTTTTTAACCACAAATGCAGATTACGTAGTAGCTTTAATCTAAATAAATAGGTAAAATATTAATTAGCCGCTAAAGAGTTTGGTAATTTTCAAACTAGTTATATATTATTGAAGCAAAATATATTTGGGAAATGGATGTTGGCCTACAAGGAATTACTATAATAACTAAAGTTGTTACTACTCACAATACTTTTGTAAAGTGAATGAACATAAGTATACAATTTGTTTGTTTGGATTGAAAACAAGTTCTAATTTGTAAAGTTATCATCCTACGGTAAATAAATTCTGATCGTAAAAAAGGTTTTCGTTTTTAAAGCCATTGATGTAGAAACGTCTCTTATGTTCTTTAAGAATGAATCTAATTCATTAGCGTAGTGATAAATAGTCGTTTAGGGAAAACTCGGACCGTTCAGTTTTCCTGTACGTGATAGCCTTGACAAACAAATGACAGTTCGAAGATTTTGTGAAAGCAAGTAATCTGAGAAGCCTTTTAAATTGAGGAAGACCAACCTAAAAATAAACAGTTTCAAAGGGCAATG